CTCTCTCTCTCTCTCTCTCTCTCTCTCTCTCTCTCTCTCTCTCTCTCTCTCTCTCTCTCTCTCTCTCTCTCTCTCTCTCTCTCTCTCTCTCTCTCTCTCTCTCTCTCTTGTAATTTGATACGCATTTTTCCCATTTTTTCGTCGTCGTTATGCGTATGACATTTATTATGGCGGGTCTGTATTTATTTATTTTTTTTTTTAATCCCATCGACGTCATATTACGAAGGCATTGTCCGTGAATGGTGAAGGAAGAACGTAAGGCAGCGCGTGTGTTCACTGCCTGGAACAAGACGAATATTTTTTTTTCTATATACTTAAAGACATTTAGTTGAATCGTTATTGTTTTTATTATCATTTTTTATATATTTTATTTTTTTATTTTTATTATTATTATTATTTTTTTTTTTTTTTTTTTTTTTTTTTGCTTCGCTTGAGACACGTTTTATGTCATTTAAATTATCTTTTATAATGTCCATTTTCTTTACTAATTGTTCGGGCTGCTGGTTGATAAGAGAAAGAATGATTTTGACTAAAGCCAAAATTAACAGATTAATAGAAAAATTATTTTATTGACCATTACTAAGTCTCTGTCTGTTTACTCAGGTCAAGGAGAATGACTATGCGTTTTCTATGCGTGACGGGTACTAATGAAAGCAAGAATGAACATTAATAAATAATGAGTTTTGCTTTTATGAAGTCTGTCTGTAACTCATATTTAACGTTCATGATGTTCGTTTTTATATTAACGTTGGGTATCTGTTATCAGATCGCGGATGGAATATTCTAGAAAATACCAGTTTGCGATGACCTGTGACTTCTCTGGATTGCACAAGGAAGTATTTTGAAGGCAGATAGCCAGATTATAATTGCAAAGTAAGGTTTTTCTTTTCCTTTTTTTTTTTCTTTTATTTTTTTTATGTTTACTTTATTTTATTTATTCAATTACCTTTTCTTCGTTAACGAGAGTTTTTGTGCCCACGTACGAATATTTTGCGTGAGTTATAATAGATATTCCATGACGATCGGAATGACTTGTCTCACGGCTAAATTGTATTTGTTAAAGGACGCGAATTGCTCGTTAAGCCTTCAAGAGCAGTTGCAGTGTAAAATGGGGCAATTGAGTTGTTACCAGTCAGTGAAATCGAAGACAGGAAGGAGAGAAAAGAGAGAGACAAGAAATCACACAGTCGACACAAGGTGTAGGTACGGCAAAGGTTGCTTCCTAACCTTGAATTTCGGGAAAAACGAAGAGAATTTCGGAAACGCGTGATTTACTGTGTGTTCCAAGTCGGAAAAAGGAAGAAGTATATGTGGAATTTACGAATTGAAGAAGGATAAGTGTCTCGTAAAGTTTTTGAAATGATGGAGGAATAAGTTTACTGGCAGTGATTATACGTTCATGGAAGGTGACCGATATAAAAAAGTGAATTTCCGACACTAAAGGAATATATACATATTTGTGAGACAACGCTAAAGGAAGAAGGGAAAGGCCCCGAAAATGGAAGAACAATGGAAGAGACGGAGGCAGCGAATGGGCTCCGACACTCAGCTGTTTGTGGCTAACCTACATCCAAGATATATCCATGCCTACGGTGATGCGACGTAAGTCTCCTTGAACGGCTGCTATGCTATTTAGTTTTCTTTTATCGTGCGTTTTGTGGGATATTGTTTTCGAAGAGTGATATCGGTGAATCTGGAATTAAGGAATCATATGTCGAAATGGTGGTCCAGATATTGCTGTGGTTATCGGGATATATTGGCGAAACGGCATGCTTTTGTTCCAATCAGCTTCGGGCGGGAAAAATGTGAAAAGGGGAGATAGTTTCTCTTATAACCCGCAAAGCGATCAGTGCAGTACGAAATTTAGGAACTATTCTGGGCCTTCCCACACTAGCCAGTCAGAGCTATTCTAAGGGTGAGACGGACCACAAGGTACCACTTTCAGGATTTAGAAAGATTAGGCCTACATGCTTCAAAGCCCCAAACCAGGAAGTTGGTCTTTTAATGCCCAGGTTGTGCCGAGTATGCCAGGGTAAAGTGGTGATTACAGTTAGTAATTGTCGAGAGATGATTGGTGGCTTGTAATTCAGACCAGGTGACGGAGCTGAAGTCCTCCCTAAACAAGGGTGATGAAACGCGCATACTTTCACGTTAGATAAATACCTAAAAAGAGAGATGAGAAGAAAAAAGAGAATGCTGCAAGCGACGGCGACCATATTCCTGAGAAATTACGTAGCCTTCTCCTCTTCCTCAGCAACACTTTCGTAACAGCACGCGATAATATGCTACTTCTGAAACATGCCCGCCAGTGGTCCAGTTGAAGAGCGCGGAGACCTTGGGGTTTGCGCCAAGACAAATCACAAGGTGGAAGGACGTGGAGAGAGAGAGAGAGAGAGAGAGAGAAGGGGGAGAGGGAGAGGGAGGGAGGCCAGTGAAGGAGGAGGAGGAACTTGGAGTTAGCCAAAGCATGGGTTGATTTTTCTTTTTATTTCATTTTTATAGTTTTGTTTGTGTGTGATTGCCGTGTATGGTTATAAATGGGCGTCTGTTTGTGTGTGATGGCTGTGTATGGTTATATATGAGTGTCTGTACGTATCTCGTGTGTTTGAAATAAGCATATGTGGAAAAAATGAGAACTGCAACTTCGTTTCAGAAATTTATAAAACATGTTCCGTTAAAGTAGACATGTTATTTAATTACCCGATTATTTCCAAACCTGTTTAGGATCTCGATATTCAGAAAAGCTTTAGGAGTATGTAAAGGAGTTATCCTTGCCTCGCCCATACTTTTTTCCCCGTTAAGTGAACGGGTTTTTCCCCTGGTCTACAAGTTGTTTGCTTTGTATTGTGAGATAGTATTGCTTACACTATATAAAATTATGGAGCGAATTCATCCGTTATTACCACGGTATATAATTCTGGTGTAAATTAATCCGTTATTGCAGTAGAAGAGCGAAAATAATAAATAGAAATTTGTTGGAAGTTTCTTGTAAATACACGTTATAAAGTGTGAATCAAGCACGTGATTAAGCTTAGTTTGAAACTAAATTTAGAACAGACTTGGTGATTCAAGGCAAACGAATTAATTGATATAAACATTCAAACGATATATATCTTAACCGCATTTCTAGAATAATGCCAGACACGCTGTAAACCTAGGAAACATTTTCATATATATTTTTTATATAAACATACATTATAAACACTCCATTATGAAGAATGATCACAGTCGAGTTTGTATTTCTTTTTACTTTTAATGGGTCATGGTCACTTTTTTTCGTTTTCTTTTTTGTGTATGTTATTAGGTCGTTCATGTTAATATGATTTTCTTTCTCGTATTACTTGTTCTTCACCCTGTATTCTAAGAATTTATTATGAAGTTGGAGTCACAGTTAACGGACTTTTTTCCCTTTCTGCTTATCGAATTGCAAAGTGTTGCATAACTAATAAATAGATATTCGCTTGAATATTCAGTGTCTGTCGCCATACACAGAGATAACCTTTTGTGACATGCACATAACACACTCCCTTTGTTTTGTGTATGTGTTTTATATTATACTCCTGTATGTGTATGTGTATGTGTATGTGTATGTATGTATGTGTATGTATGTATGTATGTATGTATGTGTGTATGTGTGTATGTATGTATGTATGTATGTATGTAGTATAGTGTGTGTGTGGTGTGTGTGTGTGTGTGTGTGTGTGTGTGTGTGTGTGTGTTAGGCTATGATGATAATTTACATGGTTAACCTTTTATTTACTTTCTATCCGTATTTTTCTTCCACTAATGCATTTGTCATTTAATTTGCTCACATCTCTTTTGCACACCTTGCTACCGCGCAATCGTACATAAAAAACGATATTTTTTTCTTCATAGAATGTAAATGTATGAATGAAATGCTTGATTGTAACAAGCGTTGCGAGAGCATTTTAAAGCATGCTGTAATTACCTTTTATAATGGCTGGTTCGCGTAATGAGCTCTCGTGACCTTAGTTTTAATGGTAGTTTCTTGTTTGCTTATTTGTATTTTGTCATTGCGAATAGGTAGCGCGAAGCATGTCGAGAATTTTACCTGAAACCTTTGATTATTTAAACTGAACCGTTACGTACCGAACAAAAACTGCGATTCTCTTATCTGGATGCTCATAAAAGAACAATATAAGTTATAAATAAACAGGATTTTTTTGTTCTTTCCATTCTCTTTCTCTGACTCTCGACGCATTGAAGATAACATCCCACATGTACCAAGGCTAAACGCAGGTATGACGCAACAGTGACGTAACCATCGAGAGATTGCATAGAGCGTATATGGTCCATTCGTGAGTCATTCAGGAGATTCGAGCCAGATTTTTGTGCGTTTAGTCAGGTTTCTTGTTCATATATTCGTGTGTACGGTGACACACACTCTTACATAATAACCTCAAAGCAAACACGGTCACCTGTGGCCTCGTTCTCTCTCTCGAACTGGTTACCCAATCGCAACTGACTCACTCGCTCATTCTTAACCCTCACACAGTCACACGCTTTACCCTGTGGCGGTACGGGGGTTATTAAGAAAATGAGGGTGAAAGATTACGGAGAAATCCTCGGTCGTTATGCTTTGATCGCGGTTATTGAAAGGTTATGCGAGGATCGTCGGGAATTTAGGTTATTGAGAATCCGTGTCGGGAGCTTTTTGAGAAGTGTCGGGTACCTAACCTTGAGACGGATCGGAGAATTCTGTTGTTAGAATCATTTCGACTCTTTTATCGCTCGCTTAAAGCACCTCTTTTCCTGCCGAATGTGAATGTACTTTTCTCCAGAACGGAAAGTCGACGAAAGGGGCCAAGGCGATGAGACCACAAGATGGGGTTTTGGCGTGTGCAAGAAATATATGGTCTCGGCTGTTTTTTGGGGGTTATTGTCAGCATTGCAAGTCGGGGAAAGTACCACGTGGCGAACTGCACTCTTCCCACGCACTCGCTGCCTATTTTTGTTGGGACTTCGTGGACTCGAATAGGGAACCCAGAGACCTTGGCGGCGGTTTTAAGTGGCTTTCCCCCCCTTGTTCGGTGTTGCATCACTTCGAATCGCTTGGGGACAGAGAGAGGGAGAGAAATGATTGAAATGCTTGTTTCGTAACGGTTTTTTTCTTTCTCGAAGGTGAAAACCATGTGGTAAATCTAACTGGGTGAATGTTTAGAGATGAGGGTTATTATCACACGCTAGCACACGTAATCCATAACGTCTATTAAGTAAGGTGTATTAAAGCTCGTAGTTGGAAAATATGATAATATAGAAGAAAACCAGGGTGTGTATTTAGAGAAAGCAGATTATATATTAAGATTTTTTTCACTCTCTAGACATTTTTGCTTGTAATATTTTTCTTAATAGGTCATGCGTATCACTGATATATGAAAATCGACGTTTTATAATAGATCGTGTGTAGCACTAATAGATGGCAAATCTGTTTTGATAGAATGACAAGTATTTTATGAGAGTAGACAGGAATTTAGGTTAAGAATCGATTCCGAATTAAATTGTCTGCTAAAATTGGATATTTGATTTGACCACAAGTGTAAGATTATAACGGTAATTTGTATCGTTTATTAACTGCTAACATATGAACACATTCTTTCTTTGTAGCTTTGTTTTACACTCGAATAAGCAAAATATGATGAAGCTACTTATTTTGTATTTGCTTCTGAGCAGTGCTGTATATAGACCTAATTTATATAGTGATAATGAATACAAGGAAATGTTTGGACTGTTTAGAATGCGAGGCTAAAGAAACGGGAACTGTAAGGTTTTGATAAGGCTTAAATTAACTCAATAGGCCTGCATGGTATTGAGTTAACTATGATTAGAATATAGTAGTAGTACGTATTTTATAGGTATTTAGCACATTTTATTATTTATAAAAGAAAAAAATATATATTTGAATCCTTGGCTAAGTAATTGTTGGAGTGTAAATATGCTGTGTAAATATTCTTTATCCTAGGGAGTGCAGAGTCTTATGCTCTGTTTGTTCATTTCTTCTGTAACACTGAGTTGGTAAATAGCTGAATGTTTTCTTGGGTTTGAATGAGAAGAATGCATTGAACTCGGCAGCATAAATTGTTCTCCATCTTTAAGAAAAAGTAAGAAAAAGAAAGAAAAAATAACACTTCGTCATGAAATTCCAGAAGAAAATGTCTCCGCAACTTTTCCGTTATTTTACACTTCGTTCTCTCTCTCTCTCCCTCCCTCCCTCCTCCCTCCCCCCTCCCTCCTCCTCCTCCCTCCCTCCCTCCCTCCCTCCCTCCCTCCCTTCCTCCCTCCCTCCCTCCCTTCCTCCCAACCTCCCTCTCCCTCTTTCTCTTTCTCCTCCCCCTCCCCCCCTCTCTCCTCCCCCTCCCGTGCCTCCTTTTGCGAATAGAACCGAACCTTTCGCAGTCGGCCGTGAACCCCTGCGTGGCTAGAGAATCCACTCGCGAAAAATAACTTGCTAAGGAACCAAATTGCGAGGAAAGGGAAAATCGACCTTAATGTTGCAAGTTTTACGGCTCCTGGAGGGTTAACCTTGGCGTCTGTTTCGGAGGGAGGGAGTGATCAAGTAAATATGTATAGGCCTATATGTGTGTTTTTTCTGTCTGTATCTCTGGCTCTGATGTTTTTCAGTCTCTCCGTTCGTCAGTCTGTCTGAGTGTCTGCGTGGTATGACCCGAGGGGAAAAATACATTCGTCTTCCTGGGTTTCCCGAGTTGGGGTTACGTCAGAGGTAAACATATGATCAGGATCCACAGCGTCATTGTTGTTGAGGGGATCTTCAAATGCCGGAGTGACGTCCATTGTCCTGAAGAATAACGATGGAGGGGAGAGGAGGGGGAGGAGGAGGAGGAAGGGGAGGAGGGGAGGAGGAGGAGGAAGGGGTGGAGGGGGAGGTGATGATGGAGGGCACGGGGGAGGAGCAGGAGGCAGAGGAAGAGAAAAAAAGATGGAGAAGATTAAAAGGAATGAAAATGCAGTCTTCGAATTTATAAGTTCGAAAAGAGCATGACTTCGCATAAAAGTTATCATAACATAATAAATCCTGCAAGCACATGCACACAAATAAGCAGACAAACAACTTAAAACACCCAGGGTTGCTAGTTAGTTATGCTAATAACCCTTCCAATCGTGTCTTGTGCTTCTAAGGCCTAGAAAAAAAAGGTCAGGCCATTTTACACGTTTATTATCTTCCATTTCGTGACATTCCTTGAATTCCTCTGTCCTCAGGATAGTAATCAAAGGGACGATCCATTTACATTCTCGATTAATCATATTAGGTTTATTGCACATCGGCGAAGAGGTAATGATGACCTGTATCGATGCCGTGCTCGCAAGTGTCAAAGTCCTTGTAATTACGACGGCGTCCTCGCGCGTACCGTCATGTCAATTTGATTTAATCATGTTATTGATGTTATTGATCCAGGTGAATGGCGGGCGAGACGCAAGTATTGATGAAGCGAGAGCAATATAAGAGGAGGGAAGGTGTCAGAGCCAGTTCAGTAGCAGTCCGAGTGCCGAGGGGATGGTGCTAGTACCGGGAACGTGAAAAAAAACGTGAGAAGTGTACAGTACTGGAGAAAGGCGCTACGGGAGTGTACGGTGTTCTAGAGGACAGGAAGACTGTGCGCTGCTTAGAACTGGAGAACTGTGCTACAGGAGTGTATAGTGTTCTAGAGGGCAGGAAGTCGGTGCGCGGCGTAAAACTGGCTTGAGGCAGTTACTGTCGCATACTTGAACGGATAAATTGTCGGAAGTAGAAAACCTTCGCGCCAACACGAACTGCATTGCGTTTGCGTACGATCACTGCGCTTTCGTTTCGAGAACGTCAGGAGTGCAGTGACATGACTCGGTAGCGCGGTCTGGTTGTTGCTTCTCGGACGTTCCTCTCGGACGATCCTCTCGGACTCCCTCGCTTGCAGGCGTTAGGGTTGGTTGGGTTCGAGTCCCGGGTGTTGTAGGTACTTGTGTAGTGTGTTGTGAAAGCACGGTGATTGAATACTACTTTATCAGTTGTGTGTTCTTGTATATTTTCTTTTGGAGTGTTCCTGTTTTCATTTATCAGCGAATTTCTAAATGTTGTTGCTCCGTAGTCACGTGATGTTTTGTTTTCTTTCAGGTGTGAGGAGCCACGTGAGGCGAGGACCTCCGAGCAGCTCCCCAGCTGCTGCTGCTGCCTCACCCCCGCCTGCGTCGCCGAGAGCCCCAGACTCCGATCCATCATGGGTTGCTTCCTCGAAAAGTTCGACAACTTCCTCAACCGATGCTTCTACCGGTTGGGCCAGATCATCGCCAACCACTTCGGGTACTTCATCATCATCCCGATCTTCATCACCGCCATCTTGGCCACGGGTTTCCAGAACATCGTGTACGAGGATGACCCGGAGTACCTGTTCGCCCCCACGACGGGCGGCGCCAAGGACGAGCGGGCGATCATCGAGGAGAACTTCTTCCTCAACTTCAGCTCGGACTTCCACCCGTCGCGCGTGACCAGGACGGGGAGGTTCGCCCGCTTCATCATCATGGCGAAGGACGAAGGCACTCTGCTGAGGACCGAGGTGTGGAACGACATCATGGAGCTCGACCGCCTCACCCACACCGTCGGGGTCGAGTACGACGACAAGTTCGTGCGCTACGAGGACCTCTGCGGCATCTGGGACAGCAAGTGCTACGAGAACAACATCCTGGACCTGAAGGACCTCATGCCTGAAATCGAGGCTGGCGAGTACAACCTGACGTACCCGCTCATGCTGAACCCCAACACGTTCGAGATGTACGTGTTCCCGCTGTTCTTCGGCGGCCTCGAGATCTCCAACTCCAGCACCATCGAGAGCGTCAAGGCCCTGTCCATCTCCTACTGGCTCAGGACCAACACCCGCAAGGAAGACGAAAGGTGAGGCAGCGCTTTTGTCAAGGCTGGGAGGGGCTTCACCTGTTGGCTAATTACGGTCTTGAAGGAGGCCCGCTTATCCTTGTGGGCCGCGTATTTAAGTATTTTATTTGTCTTAATTGTTTGTTTATTATGGCAATTAGTCAAGGCGCAGCGACGCGTAGAAATGACGTATTTGTATCTCATTTGGCACATAACATAATATTACGTAGCGATCTTCAAAAAAAACAAAAAAACAGTCGTTCAGCTTTTATCAGTTGCGTGTTTTTTCCTCTTCGATTTAGATAAGAAACAGTCCTTAAATCATCGGGTTTTCTCGGGTTTTCCCACTGGCTCGACTGACGTAATCACTATTAGCAAAGGATACACTTGGCCAACCACGGAGCCGCGACGCCCTCAGCCAACAGAGCTCCGACCTTGCCACGAAGAACCTGTCAGCTGGTTGGCCAAGGAAGTGCCAAGGAGGTCGCGCATAATTCATGCTTTATATCTATATAAACTTCAGGAATAGATAACGCTCAGAGCTGACGTTAGAGCTAAGACTTTGAAGGCTTAACGCGCGTGGCTTGTTTGCCCGTTTTGTATGTCTTGTGTTCGTTCGCCGAGGCCGTGACGGGGAAACTTTGGTTAACGGATCTCGCGCTCGTTCTCGGTGCATCGTCTTTGGCGAGGTTTTGGCGTGCGATCTTTCGCGCTTGTGCAAGTATTGACTCTTTTCCTAAGTTGCCGAGGGCTTATTTTTCCCGCCCTCGGTTTGTTTAGCTTTTTCGCGTTCGTCCATTCCCGCCATTTTTTTTTGCGTCTGTCTATTGTCTCTGTTTGAATCTGTTAGCGACGACTTTCACTAAATTCCCGATTTTATTGAGAAATTGAAAAAAGGGGGAAATAATTAATGGCTTGATTTGCATTCCACGCTAAGTTCGGTCCAAGAAAAGTTTTGAACGGGTGAAGGTCGCAGTTCATAATACCCGATAGGTTTACATTCTTATTCAGATTCACTAGTTTCGATTTCTCCTTCATATGCAAATGAGAGAATTATAGTCTGGCGATATGCAGCGTGGAATTTGCATATTAGTATTGTTAGGCCATCGAGGTCGTCGCCGTCTGCGCTAGTGTTATTAATGCGTTTAGTGTTATTTTTGCCATCTGTTACTATTGGGCTAGTATCCTTGGCATCAGCTTGGCAGCCATCACTGTTGTAATTATCGATGTTATTGCAGTTAGTATGATAACAGGAATGAATAGGATTCCTGATTCCGAATCTTTTCTTCACCGACCACCGCCCCCCCCCCTTCCAGCTGTCTTTATCACTGTTATTGTTATTATTAATATTATTATTATTATTGTTTGAAGCTATATAAAGTGCCACGCTGAAAAAAATCGAGATTTATACTACCAAAGGTGTCAGTGCAGGTCAAGATACAGCTATGAAAGAATAGGAAGTTAGCTATTTACGTAAGAAAAAAGTTGTAATTATCGATGTTATTGCTATTATGATACCGGGAATACAAAGGATTCGGCATTCCGAATCCGTTCTTCCCCGACTGCCGTTCGCTCCTCTAACCTCCCCTCCCCCACTCCTCCCCCCCAGCGCCGCCCTGTGGGAGCAGTCCTTGCTGAAGGCCATGGACGGGAAGGACTTCGGCACGATCAAGGTGGCTCGCTTCGTGTCTCGAACGCTGGAGACGGAGCTCGAGAACAACACCAACTCCGTGATCCCGTTCTTCGGCGTGACCATCGCCATCATGCTGTTCTTCAGCATCTCCACCGTCATGATGGGCGACTGGGTGCGCACCAAGCCCTGGCTCGGCCTCATGGGCGTCGTGTCGGCGGTGCTGGCCTGCGTCGCCGCCTTCGGGTTCCTCATCTACCTGGGCGTCGAGTTCATCGGGATCAACATGGCGGCGCCCTTCCTCATGTTAGGTGAGTGTTGGCTCTGTGTGGAACTACGGGGATGGCCTTTCCACTGTCCTTGTTTTGTTGTTGTTGTTTTTTCCATTTTTCTACAGATTTTCCTTCGTATATGATCTCCATTTGCGTCTTTATTCCGGCGTTCGACCAAACCGAACCACAAATAGATAGTTGATTAAGCGAGTTTACTGTCATACTTCCTCATTTCATTCCACTGTCCTTGTTTTTTTTCCTTTTTTCCATACGTTTTTCTTCGTATATCTCCATGTGCGTCTCTATTCCGGTGTTCGACCAAACCGAACCACAAATAGATAGTTGATTAAGCGAATTTACCGTCATGCCTCCTCGTTCCATAATTCATCTGCATATGTATAGGTTTTCCTTCCGTCTTTTCCCTTGTATTGTCTTTCCCGCTTGTATTGTATCGTAACTTCCTCAGGGAGGTCTTTGAGACATGGACTTTTCCCTAGCATTGTTTGGGAGAAGATAATGCTAGGTTAGGCACTGAGGTCAGACGCTGAGGTTAGGCCGAGTTAGAGTTCATTGTGGGGTTTCAGAGAAATGAGGTAGAGGTAGGCAGAAAAGTAAATTTTAATGCAGGGTTATTTGTTTAGGTTGATTTTGGATTTTTTTTTCATAAAGGCCCTTTAGCTATCATTTCTTATCCTTCTATTCCCCCTCTCTCCTCATCCCTTTCCCTCCCTCCTCTCTCTCTACCCTTCCTCAATATTTCCACCCTCTCTCTCTCTCTCTCTCCTCTCTCCCTCCATTCCGTCTCTCCACCTATTTCCACCTCTCTCCCTCTTAGTCATACACATAACGGAGCAGCAAACTACTTGCAAGACGTTCGCCACCACCCCTCCCTCCACCGCCCTCCCCTCGTCCCTCTCCTGCACACCCCTCACCCGCCCTCCCCCGTCCCCCTCCCTGCACACCCCTCACCCCGCTCCCCCTCCTCCCTCACACCCTCACCCCCCGCCCCCCACCTCGTTTCTTGATGTCCACGGCGGCGACCAGATTCTCGCGCGCCCCCCGCCAACCCGGAATAGAATCTGTCAGCATTACACGCAGATTTTCCGCCGATGGAGAGAGAAAGAAAAAAAGAGAAGAGGAGTTTCGAAGACTCTGGTAGAAACAAAAGGCGCTGCAACTCCTCTCTCCGTTGAACGCTAAGTTTTAAAGAAAGTGGGTGATATTTGCTATGCTGATAAGAGTGGGGGTTTTATGCGATAAGAGTGGGGGTTTTATGCGATAAGAGTGGGGTTTTATGCTGATAAGAGTGGGAGGTTTTATGCTGATAAGAGTGGGGGTTTTATGCTGATAGGAGTGGGTTTTAAATGTTGGAAATGGTAGGGATAGAGAGGGATAGGGAGTGAGAGGGGGGGGATGGTATTGGGAGAATGAGAGAATGGTAGATAGAACGATGTGCAGTATATGTGTTGGATGAATGAAATACCTAATGGGGACGAAATAGAAAAGTTCAGATTTTTTTTTTTATGGAGATAAATAATATCAAACGAGAAGAGAGAGGGGGAGGGAGGGAGGGAGCGAGCGAGGAGAAAGAGAAAAAAAGAAAGAGAAAAGGAGAGAGATTGAGAGAGAGAGACAGAGACAGTCCTTGATACATATGAATCAAAATAACATATAGATTACGATTAAAGATGGGCGTGTTGGGTTATAATGTGTACACCCAGAGTATTCACACAAGACACCGTAATGTCACGCTGGACTAATGACGTTAACGGAGCAACAGGTGGTCTTTCCATGCAGAGGAGCGGCAGCCGAGAGAGAGAGGGAAGAGAGAGGGAGAGAGAGGAGAGAGAGAGAGAGAGAGGGAGAAGGAGGGGGAGGAGAGAGAGAGAGAGAAGGAGGGAGAGAGAGGAGAGAGAGAGAAGGAGAGAGAGAGAAAGAGGAGAGGGGAGAGAGAGAGAAAGAGAGCAGGAGGGGGAGAGAGAGAGAAAGAGAAGAGGGGGAGAGAGAGAGAGAGAGAGAGAGAGAGGAGGGGGAAGAGAGAGAGAGAGAGAGAGAGAGGGGGAGAGAGAGAGAGAGAGAGAGAGAGAGGGGGGGGCGGTATGGTGGTCCGTTGTGCGGTCGAAATGTTTGAGATAGATATTTACGGATGTGCTTGCTTGTTTGTGTGTTTGTGGTTATTAATGTGTGTTGTGTATAAATATGTGTGTGTGGGTGGTTAAGTATAGGTGTGTGATTGTATGTGTGTGTGGGTGGTTAAGTATGGGTGTGTATGTGTACGTGTTTGTGTGTGTGTGTGCGTGCGTTTGTATCTGTATGTCTATATGTAGGTGTGTCTGTATGTATATTTGTCTATATGTATGTGTGTGTCTGTATGTATATTTGTCTATATGTAGGTGTATGTATGTGTGTTCTGGTTGATACAGATTGTTACACCTGTATACTTAGATTTACCATCTTGCAAAAAAAAGGGCTGGAAATTGCGGCTTCGAGAATGTTGCAAGCCGACAAAACACTAAACTGATTACGGCAAGCTGTGTAGTGGCCGGCATTTCACCATCAAAGCTTTCATAACAGAGTGAGAACAATTAGCTACATCATGTCATCTCGAAGATTCTCTCTCCTACTGTTTGCCTGTGTATTCTCTCTATCTATCTGTCTATCCATCCTCCCTCTCTCCCTCTCACTCATATTCTCTCCCTCTCTCTCACCTTCTCTCACATTCTCTCCCTCTATCTCACCTTCTCTTCGTCTCTCTCAATTCTCTCCCTCTCTCTCAATTCTCTCCCTCTCTCTCAATTCTCTCCCTCTCTCTCAATTCTTTTTCTTACCATCTCTCCCTCTCTCTCCCTCTCTTTTACCATCACTCCCTCTCTCCCTTCCACCTTCCCTCCCTCCTTCCCTCCCTCCCTCTCTCCCTCCCTCCCTCCTCCTCCCTCCTTTCCTCCTTTCCTCCTTCCTTCCTTCCTCCTTCCTTCCTTCCTTCCTTCCTTCCTTCCTTCCTTCCAACTTTCCCTCCTTTCCTTCTTCCCACATTTTATATATAAGAACAACAATGTTCACAGTCGTCATTTCCCCCTAAAGCGATCTTTCCATATCTATAAAATTTGCATAGACTGTACACACCAGTGATTCTACTCCCGTTCACAATCTATAATTATTTTCGGTCTATTTACGATGGGCGTCTAGTCACCACCGCATAAGCGTGAAAACATAGGCCTCATCACCAATCAGCTTAGGGTTAACATCATGACCTCTTCGACATTCATCACCATTTCCTTTGTCTTGTCTTGTCTTCGTCTCTATCGAAAGTGTCGTTCCAAGGAGTGGAATGTAAGTTTTAACTTTTGTTCTTGTCTCACTTGTTTTCTATCTAGTTCTAGCATCCGTTCCTTCACTTTAGAGTACTCCTTCCATCTTTATCACTCCTTTTACCTCTCTCACCCCTCCGCCATTCATTTTCTCACTCGCTCCCACATCTGTATCCGCAGTTACACCCACACCCACACCCGCAGCCTTACCCACAACTAAATCCACATCTACACCCACATCCACACCTACAGCCATCCGCTTCGATACCTGGTAGTCTCACCCACACCCCTTTCACACCCCTACCCTTGTCTATCTACTCTCGCACCCTACCTCCACCCCACCCTACTTACCCTACCACCAACTCCATCCTACCACCCCACCCCATCCTACCTCCACCCCCACCCATCCTACCCCACCAACTCCATCCTACCTACCACCACCCCCACCCCTACCCCTACCCTACCACACCCCCACCCCCTCACGATACGTCGCGTCATTCTGTTTCCTTAGAAAGTGACAGACTCGAGCCGAGTGTACACAGGTCATCCCGGAGAGAGAGCGAGCGTCCAGTGTGTGCGGTTGACTGCCCATCACCTCACGCTCGCTCGCTCGCTCGCACGCACGCACGCACGCCAGATAACGATTAGCGTTAGGTCGAGAAGGATGAGAAGATCCGAACGCGGGTGTAGATGAGGTTCCTAGTCGTGGGTATTTCAGGATAGGAGAGACGGATGTGTGTAGAGATGAGTCGTGTAGTGGTGTTATTGCTCGTGCAGACGCTATGTAGTCGAAGGCTGAGGAAGTAACTGATTAGGTCTTGTAATAGCTTCCGAAGGTCGTCATTATGGGAGAAAGTTCTTTTGATTACTTCCATGTAGACGGGGCGATCAGAAATTCGATTACAGTTCTACTTATAAGGGTGAAGTTAAAGTGTGACGTACTTAAAAGGGTAAGGTTGGAGGGTGACATACTTATAAGGGTGACGTTGGATTGGCATTATGCTTCTAAGGGTGAGATTGGGAGGGTGATTGGAGTGTGCTGTCATTTGAGACGTTACTCACAACACTCTTAAGTGATAGGAAGTTCATATCACTTCCGTCGCGAGGAACAATGAGGTTAGGCGGGGGCCATCTTACCCCCCCCCCCCCCGAAGCTGACAGCGCGAAAAAAATGTGTGTTCAGGAGAAAGAAAGAAAGGAAGAAAATAATAAAATGGAACATAATGAGAGTAAAATCGGCGTTATGCCTTTGTTCCCACATGTCGAAAAATCCACTTAATTCACAGAGAAGAAATAAAAGGTGTACACAGAAGATAGAAAAGAAAAGAGAAGAATAAATACTACTACTACTATTCCTCTCTCATCTTCTTCCTCCTACTACTACTCCTACTATTACTATACTATTACTATTACTCTCTCATCTTCTTCCTCCTATTACTACTCCTACTATAAATAAAATGGCAAACAGAGTAAAATTTTCGCTCTGCATTGGTTTCCACCTTGTCCAAAGATCCACTTCATTCACAAAAAGACCTTAGGAGCGCAATAGGCGTCCACAGGTGCCGGGAGCAGCGAAAAAGCACAAAAAAACAGGGTGATTACAGGGTGATTGCAGGGTCACGTTTAGTCGCTCGCTGTGTGTACCGACGCCGCGGAGTTCCGGGTGGTTTTTATTCCATCTTGACTTTAGAAGAAAGAGGAACAAAGGGGGAAGGTATTTGAGGGAGGGAGGAAGGGGGAGGGAAGGAAGAGGAAGTCGGGAAGGACGGAGTGACGGATTGTGAAGGACTTGCGAGTGGTAGTAATATTAATATTAGTGGTAGTAGTAGTAATAGTAATGATGAGGATAATAATACTAGTAGTAGTGGTAGTAGTAATGGTAATACTACTACTAGTAGGAGTAATAGTAGTAGGAGGAGGAGGAGGAATAGTAGTAATAGTAGGAATAATAGTAATAGTAGGAGTAGTAGTAGGAGGAAGAAGATGAGAGAGGAATAGTAGTAGTAGTAGGAGGAAGAAGATGAGAGAGGAATAGTAGTAGCAGTAGTAGGAGGAAGAAGATGAGAGAGGAATAGTAGTAGTAGGAGGAGGAGGAGGAAGAGGATGAGAGAGGAATAGTAATAGTAGGAGGAAGAGGACGAGAGGCAGAGAGCTCATTCCGTCGATGACTCTGCCGAAGCTGCAGAAGGCGATCGGATGGATCCCTCCAGAGGCGACGGCGGTGACTCGACCCCGCGGAGACCTCACTAACGGGGCTTCGCATTAATGGCTCCTGAAATCGAAACGGCTCCTGAAATCTCGCGGTTTCGTTCCGTGCGTCGTCTGCTATATTGAAATTCGTAGGAGTTCGGTGTCTGTGCCGTGGCGTGACGTAGAGGTTGTGGCGGGGTTGTAGGCGGTGGTGTCAGACGCGTGAATCCCTCGGCGATTGTAATTATTGCGCGTGACTGGGAGCCGATCGGGGGATTCCTTTCGTTTCTGGTAAAAGTGTGTGTGTGTGTGTGTGTGTGTGTGTGTGTGTGTGTGTGTGTGTGTGTTGTGTGTGTACATGCGTGCTTTCATGTGTGTGTGTGTACAGTTCTGTGTGTGTGTGTGTGTGTGTGTGTGTGTGTGTGTGTGTGTGTATGTACATGCGTGCTTTCATGTGTGTGTGTATGTACAGGCGTTCTTTCATGTGTGTGTGTGTGTGTGTGTGTGTGACAGGCGTGTTCATGTATGTGTGTGTGCATGTACATGCGTGCTTTTGTGTGTGTCTGTTTGCAGAAGGGTGAAGGGGTTGAAATGCGTATTTTGCATGTGCCAGGGCGCTCTTTCGGCGAGGAATGCTGTGCTCGCTTTCTCCTCGTGACATGATTATCCCAAAAAAAAAGGTCGAAATGGTCGTCTTGATTACAGAGGAAGCAAAAGTCGCCCGGAGATTTCAACTCGGTAGAAAGTAGTGATCCGAGTTCACTAAATTCCTATTTCACTTCAACGGAATTATGACTAGATTTTTTTTTTTTTTTTTTTTTTTTTTTTTTTTTTTTTTTTAAATCTCGACGTTATAACATGATATAACGTGCCTGTTCAACTGCGTACGTGGGTTAACTATTATGCCTTTGACATTATACAGTACAGTGATGCAATGGCGTATAATAACTTTGAACTTAACAAATTTCGTCATACTTACCCGCGGTTCCCAAACGGGTTCACGCTTTTACACCCAAACAAGTGTGTGCGTGCGTGCGTTTGTGTGTTCCGTGTGTTTCTATGTGGGTTTTTTCATTCTCTCTCTCTCTCTCTCTCTCTCTCTCTTCCTCTCTCTCTCTCTCTCTCTCTCTCTCTCTCTCTCTCTCTCTCTCTCTCTCTCTCTCTTTTCTGTCTGTCTCGGTCCGTCTCTCCCCCTCTCCCCTCTCCCTCCTCCTGTATCCATTCATTAAACTCTTCATAACAACATTATCACCATAAAAGCTTATTAAACCCTGCCCCTCCGACTCCCCTCCCTTCTCCCCTTCCACTCCCTCTCCACTTCCTCTCCCAATCCCCCTTCCCCTTCCTATCCCACACTCCCTTCCATTCCCTCTCTCCCTCTCCCACTCTTCCCCCTCCCCCTTAACTCCTCACTCCTCCTCCTCCCCCTCAGCCTCCCCCTTCCCTTCCCCCTTCCCTCTCCTTCCCCTTCCCCCTCCCCCTCCCCCATCCCACTCCCTCTTCCTCTCCCCATTCCCTTCCCCCTTCCCCCATCCTACTCCCCTCCCCCTCCCCCTTCCCCCTCCCGACTCCTCTCCCCCCTCCCCCTTCCCTCTACCCACTCCCTCTCCCCCTTCCCCTTCCCTCTACCCACTCCACCTCCCCTCCCCCTCCCTCTACCCACCACCTCCCCCTCCCCTCCCTCCCTACCTACTTTGCATTCACATCCTCGGTCGTCGGATCCCGCAAGTTGGCCAAGGATAACTTAAGGATAACTTGAGAACACGTGTGGGAGGCGGTGCTTATCCTGTTCCTGGAGGATAAAGTTTCCTTTCCACTCGGGACGTTGTAGTCTTTTGTTCTGGCGAGGGGGGTGGGTACTTTTTTGTTTGTTTGTTTGTTTGTTTTTTGTTGTGTGTCGTTTGTGGTTGTTTGTGTGTACTTTTTTGTTTGTTTGTTTGTTTTTTGTTGTGTTGTCGTTTGTGGTGGTTGTATGAGTGTGGGTGGTGGTGTGTGTGTGTGTGTGTTTTTTAAGGTCTACCCCTCTTTCTCTCTCTCTCGCTATCCCTCTCTCTCCCCCTCCCTCCCTCCCTCCTCCCTCTCTCTCCGTCTCCTCCCTCCCTCTCACTATCCCCTCCCCCTCCTCCTCTCACTCCCTCCTCATCTCCTGCTCTCACTCCGTCCCTCCCCCCCTCCCTCTCTATCTCCATCACTCCCTTACGAAGCCTGAATTCGCCTCCGCCCACTCCCTCCCACGCCCTCACTCCCTCACTCCCACGCCCTCACATCGCGGTCTTACGCATGCCCACTTCGTCTCAAGGTGACGGGCGAAGAGTAGATCAAGGTTCTCGCCGACGTCTCGCCTTTAGCGGGTATTATGAGTGCCATTTTTTTCCTTTCTTGCTTGCTTGCTTTGTTTTCCTTTCTTTCTTTTATTTTATTTTCTTTCTTTTCTTCTTTTCTCTTTCTTTTTTCTTCTTTTTCTTTTTTATTTTTTTTTCTTTCTCTTTTTCTCTTTCTTTCTTTCAAATCGTTTTATGAAGTAGTTTTCGGAAAGTTTTGGGTAGTTGTGGGGTTAGAATGAAGAAAATGTAATCGAAACAAGCTTTAGCATGGATCATAAATTATTTTTTCTTTCTTTATATTTCTCTCAAATGGTTTTATTGCTGATTTGGGAAAAATAAATGGAGGTTGGAATGCGAGAGAAGGCAATCGAGTTATACAAACGGGTGATTGTATTTTCCTGCGTGTTTGTTAGAGGTGACGGTAACTTCTTTTTCGCGGCGGCAAAGGTGTCGGCCAACATGCTCCGCTATACATGATCAGCGAAGCGTTATGCAGACCTAGATCTTGAGACCACATAACAGCTCTCTCCCGTACCCCCCCCCCCTTCTCCTCCTACTCCTACTCCCCTCACCACCACTACCACGCCCACATACACACTCCTCTCACTTCTACTTATCTCCCTCTCCTTATTTCTCCTTTCTCTTTCTTTCTCCTTCTCTTCCATCAACGCATGTCTCGTTATCCTCCACCTCTATCTTTTTCTGCCTCTTCTTCTCTCCTTCCTCTTCGCCTTTCTCCTCTTCCCTTCTTCCTACTGTCT